GTGCGCGTGCTAAGATCGTTTGTCCGTCCGCTATACGCCGTCCGCTGTGGAGCTGAGAACTTATAAAGTCACTTTCAGAATTTGCAATTAAAGGAGCTGCAGTTCAAAGTGAAAATATTTATGCAAAAACTGGAGGATACGCTAATTAATTTCGAAAAAGTGCGTGAAGAAAAAATTTCAATTAAATGCTAAACCATTTACTAATTTAAAAACAAATTACCGAAAAGCTCGGTAGTGTGAAAGAACAAGAAAGAACGAAATTGCCGTTTACAAATATTTTCTGGAGCAAAAAATATTAAAACATGATGAAGTGTGTGCGCGAAGTTTTCACGAAAATTATGGAAAATTAACAGGACTATACTTTTAGAAAAAAAAACTGTCAACACTGCGGAGTGTGCTCATAAATTGAGGAATTATGAGTTTTGCATGCTGTGGAGTCAAGTACAAAAAATAAGTATGCTTTTTATTACAAATTTTGGGCTTAAAAAATTGTTTGTGCTTTACTTAAAAATATTAAATCTTAAAACAAAAAAAAAATACACCTTAAAATTTAAAAATTTAATCTTTAAATTAGAAAATTAAATTATAAAATTAAGAAATTAAATCAGAAAATAAAATAATTAACATTTTTGGTTGGAAAGTTAAAGAAAAAATTCGGAAATGTAGTCCACCCTTTCAAATTTCTGTGTACTCAAAGTGGTTTTTATTCAAGCTCGGAGGTGTGGATACTCATTTTTTTAACTGTCGTTGAAGAATCTTGACTATTAGCCAAATATATTTCTTTAGACAGTGGGTGTGGTTGTAAATATGGTACACATATTTTCAAAAATGTAATAGCTACCATTTAATAAACTAAAAACGAGCTCATTTTCTGAAGCAGTTAAAGATAATTAAAAAGAAAGGTTACTAAATGCACGTTTTTTCAATTTCCACATAATAAAAGATATGATTTTTAAACTTTGTAACTTCTGCTGACTTTTTCGATAGGAGGCATATATCTTTATAAAAAAAATTACTGCGCAAAGGGATACAATTTCACATATCTTCACTTATATATATTATATACACAAAGTATTTGCAACTCTTCAGAAGTTAGAGGATACATTTTTATATTCGCCATTGAGAAATAAAGGCTCGACATACGAACTCAATCAACTCAGATCTAAAAAGGCTGCCAACTAAAATATTTTAAAATCTTATAAGCAGCATTTTTATCAGATCTTTGATGTCTAGAAGCTTGCATTCTTACCACTGAAAGCTTTCCACTTTCAATGGAATTGTGTGCATTGCTCTGTTCGCCTTAATAGGTGTGAAAATAAAAAATAGCTGCACTCAAAATTTGTTACAGCATACAATATACTTAAATATTTTATTTAAATAGACCTTCAAGACGTCGAGAAGAATTCTTCATTAAGTTATCACGATCAAAAATGAATAATGTATACCGAGATCACTTTCTTGTCGGTATGTAAATTAGTAAATAGCAAGAAATAATCATAATACGTGTCAACACAACAAATATATGTAGATATGTACATATTTATGTATTCATACCAAATATATGTATGCACATATATATGTACTCATGTCGTGAATAAATATTTGAATAATGAAGTTCTCATATCAGGCCAGCTGGCAAGAAAGCAATGTCAGCGCAATAGTATGAAATTTAAATGCTACTCGTATAATAAATGCATGGAAACATAATTTACAAATATACACACAAGTTAATATATAGGCACACACACACACATATATATGGATGTGATATATGCAAATGTATGGAATATATGCAAAGTGGCGCCGGCAACCAACGTCCATAAAACGCAGATACTCGCTTATCAACACCAAACACACGAGCAAATAGCCAACAAACAACAAGTTTATAAATAGAACAAACAAAATTCTAATAGTATATACATACATAAATACATTTGTATATTAGCTTTAGAAATGACATGGACACGCACACACAAATATGTACGTGGCAAGAGCAGGCGCAGCATAGCAAATGGGAAGGTCGCTCAAACAAAACTGAGAGTGTTCTACTGACATGGATTCTGCAGTACAACAAGCATAGAGGAAACGGGAAAAATAGCAACTTAATAGGACTAGCCGGTCTACGAAGTATCTAACATACAGTAGCGCTGGTGGCAAAGAGCGTCGGCGTTAGCGACGGCGTCAGCGACAATGCTTGCTATCGCGCAGTCAGCAGAAAAGCGCTTAAAAACCTTGAAAATAAAAAGTAGAGAAAACTGCTTGATCTATTAGGAAAAACTAGTAGCAATGGAGAGAAGAGCTTAAGAGAGTGCAAGGCTGAGAGCTAATAACACAATGAGGCATTATGCGGCCTGAAAGTCAATGAGCACTTTTTGAGTGAGTCTATGAGTGAGTTTTCAACACAAAAAAAAGAAACAAAAAAAAAAATATATAATTGCTGATCTACGGCAAGGTGAAAAGCAATCGGATTGGGTGGTGTGGACGTCATAATTTGTAAGCGATAGATTTTGCGTAAAACGCGAGAGTGTAAAGATCACGTTAATGTAAATAAACAATCATAAATATAGCCCTTTATTGTAATTATTAGATTAGCGCGATTCGGTGGCGGGTAAACTTTGCTCTAACAGCATATGTAGTACACACGATCGCCTGTGTATATTTTCGGCTGCACTCTTAAGTTTTCAGAGCGTTAAGTCAACGTCTGCTAGATCGGCTAGGCTACTTTCTTTCGCTTTTGAACGAGTACGTAAGCGAATTGGCCAAAAAAGCCGCTTAGCACCATTTAAGCGGTGATCATTGGGCGCAGTTGCCGTTGTGACATGACGCTGAACGGACGTTGGTGAAAGGCGCTGGGTGCAATACGAAAAAGTAACGGTTAACGATAAAAAATAAATTATTTTACTCAACGATTGCACAGCTGGCACGGCTGTGATAAATTTGTGCATTTAATTGGGTGGCGCAGAAATAATAGAAAATGCTTATCAGCATGACGCTTGCGTTTTGATTTGGTGAGAGAACGCGAGTGAGCGGTACGCGCATTAGATTAGTGTTTGCGAGTGTGTGTGTGTGAGCGATTTGGGTATGGAAATAAACGCTATTGTTGTTTACTGATTACGTCCGTTTGCCCATTTTATGTACGGGCATAAGTATATACACATATACATATACACACATGTGCATGTACTTTTGTATTATGAATTTGTTTTTATTTATTTTTAAATGTTCTCAAATTAGCTTTGCTTTGAACTTGAACTTTTTGTTGTCACTCAAAAAAGTAGAAATTAAAAATAAATTAATTAAAAATACCGCGTGTAGGCAAACAGATAATCAACAGTTGTTCATTTGTCTTGCTGAGCTTTTTGAATACTACATTGCCTTACGATTTACTTTCAATTTAACTTTGCAACTTTTTTTTGAACTTAAATTTTTTTTATTGCACTAAAGTCATTTAAAGTGTAATTGCCTAGAAAACATACTTCTTTATGAAGTTATGCATTTAATTGCAACGAAACAAGCTTAGAAAATTTTATTCAAACAATTTTGCCTTCATATCTATGTATTAATTAATGACATTTGACATCAATTATTTTTAAAGTAATTTTTTTCGGAATTCTTAATTTAAATTAGAATTAAAATTTTTAACAAGAAAAACACAAATTGATTATTAAAGTCATATTTGGTTATTTTTTCTTTTTAATTTTTTTTATTTTTTACGAAGTTTTTTCTAAAATTCTTAAATTAAATTAGAATTGATATTTATAGCAAATTTTTTTCAGTTTTCACACAGTATTTTTTCGCAAATTCTTAAATCAAAAAAATTTTTGTTAAGTAATATTATCAGTTTTCGCAAAGTTTTTTTTCGGAAGTTCTAAATTTTATTCGAAATTTATTTAATTAATTTTTTTTTTAAGTAATTGTTTTTCAGTTTTTACAAAGTTTTTTTGGAAATTCTAAAATTGAGTTCTAATTAATTTTTTGAAGTACGTATATATTTTGCAGTTTTCACCAAGTTTTTCCTAAAATTATAATAAGTTAATTATTAAAATCATATAATTTTTTTAAAGTAAATTATTTTAGTGTTTACGAAGTTTTTTCTAAATTCTTAGATTAAATTGGAATTAATATCTTTTATTTAAATTATTAAATAAGAATTTTTAATTTTTTTATAATAATTTTTTTTTGAATTAAATTAGAATGCATTTTTTTAGTGATATTATTTTTGGTTTTAAATTTTGTTTTTGAAATACCTAGTGTACTTAAAAAATTGTTTTAAAGTTTAAAATAATCAAAGATATTTATGTCCTCTTATTAGATATTAAAATCAATATAACTATTTTTTTTATTAATTGAGCGTAACTTATAAATTTCGAATTTTTTTTGATTATTTATTGCCATTTTGTAATTTGTTGATTTTTTATCTTCTCAAACTTCTGTCATAAAAATTCATGTGGCATTTGATAACATTAGTGCATTCAGGTTTCACTATAAACTCAAGTTTGAACTTAGGTGTTTAAGTATATTAATCAAATCTTGTTATTGTGATGCTTAAGAAATACGGAGTTCGATTTAAGATTTTTGACAGGTATGAGGGTCCTTACTAATAAGTAATTTTTAAGCAAAGTTAAATAATTGTTTTTCGCATTTTAAACTTGACATTTGTGAGCAGAGTTTGACGCTAAGCATTTTCGAAACCAACGATGTTAATACTTTTATAACTGCATATAAATTATATTCATTGCCCACAATTTTCTACCGTGCAGTTTGCTGAACATATTATTTATACGAATTTTTTATTGCATGATTCTATTTTCATTGCTTATAATATTTATTCCATAAATATTCGATTACTGGTTTGTTTTTGTTGAATTGTCGCCGGCTAAATGCTGCGCAATTACGTTTATCGATATACATACATATGTACATACATGTACTCACATAAATAAAGCGGAGAATATATAATATTGTACCTATTACCACATCAAATGCAAAGATTTTGTTTATTACAAATTGTTTATTATTGCTACGTTTATTTTGATTTCAATTTACATATATACTGCACACTTCGCTAGGTACATAAATATGTATATAATCTACAAAGTCATAATTTTGTATATTTTTCCATTACAAAAATGCTCCTATGGCTATTTTCTGTACATATAAATTTACATATATAATAAATATACATGTACCTCCAACCGCATCCAGCCACCCGTCCATTCGTCATGATCGCGTCAGCCCGACATTTGCTCCAACAACAATCATTTCTGTCACAATTTGGCTTTCTTCTCGGTATGCAAAGATGAAAACACATTTGACAGCTGTTAACTTGCTGCTACAGCTAGTTGTTGTTGTTTAATTAGCTTTTAGTTTTGTTGCTATTTTATAGTATATATTTTGTTTTTGACTGATGTGGATGTTAATTGGTGTGGTCCACTTGGCCGTCGGTACAAAAGTACCGTCGCACATGCACTACTACGTGCCGAGCAATTTCGCTGCGTACTGTGGTGTTAAGTAGCGTTTTTTGTGAATTAAAGTAAACAAACCAGAAAAAAAATTACATTCCGTTGCACCGAAGCTAAAATGTGCTTTACAAATAAAAACGTTTCCATACGAAACCATGATTTCGTTTGTGCAGTTTGTATGGCAGCTATACGCTGTCGTCCGATTTAAAATTTTTTTCTAAAATTTTTGACAAATTTTCTATACAAGAACTTGATTTTGATCGTTCAATTTGTATGGCAGCTGTATGCTAAAGCGATTCGATATCCGCGGTCCTAACAAATGAACGATTTCTTGGGATTTAAATGGCAAGTGCAAAATTTCAGAACGCTATCTCAAAGACTGAGGGCCTAGTTCGCGAATGTACAGGCAGACAGAGGGACATGGAATGGTCGACTCAGCTCGTCACGTTGCTCATTTATATATATATTTAATATACCCCGTGCAAGGTAGCACGGAATTTTTTTCTACTAAATTGTAAAATTAAATATAATTAAATGTTTATTTTTTTAATATACAAAATTAATACTAACAATAAAATTAAGTTTTAACTATTTTTTTTTTAATATTTCAAAACACTTTTCTCAAATTTGATATGATTTAAAAAATTTATAATAATATTATATTTCTTAGACAAATATAACATTATGCCTGTTGCGACACTATTACAAATATGTCAAAACTGTAATTCATCAATTAATATTAAAAAATGATTACTTTAATGAACATTTAATATTTTCGGACCGCCAGTCGAATTTTTATTATAATTTTTTTAAATTTATGTCCAATATTTAAAAGTTTTGCACGCAATTTCAGCAGAGGCGCATCACTGTGCCGCCGCTTGGCGCACGAGCCAACATTGAAGTGTTGCCATTTCATGACGTCGTTGTTGTTACTGTTTTCTTATTTTATTATTGCCGCGAATTGTAGTACGTGTGCATTCGCATTGCACCGCTACTTGTTGTTGGAAAGTGAAAGTGCTTCGCGTGCAAGAAAAGCACATTGCGCACAGAGAGTTGAAAAGAGCGGGCGGACGGTGCAGCGGGGCGACGTGGTGTGGCGTGCCGTATACTCAGTGAGGGGGAATATCGGCGCTAACACAGCTGCCGTTTGATTTTTGCACACCACTGCAAGCACACACACACACACATCGATATATCTTTGTTGTTTGTTGTTATTTTGCGCGCTGACCGACTTGCAGTGGGCGTTGCTCGACCTGATTTTTGCTTTCTAGTATAAATGAAAAGCAACAATGAATTTATTAACTTACTTGCAAACTTACCGCTTACATACATACATATATACATACTGCTAAAAACTTCACTTTTGCTTTTTTAACCGATTTAGTGTTTCTTTCCTTTAAACACCTTTCAACGAAAAGTCGATTTATTTCGTTTTGCGCGCTCAAGCGTTGCTCAATTAACTTATTGCCGATTATTTTCACTTTTTTATTTATTTTTGTATATTTTTTCTGCTTTTTTGCTTGGTTTCGAGTACACCTCATACACTTTCTACTTTCTTCATTTGCGGAATTGTTTTTTTGTTGTTGCTTATATTTATTTCTAGGCCGTTGATCGCTACTGCTTTTTGCGCGTGTGTGCCAATTTTTGTTGTTGCAACGTTTAAAGTGCGTGACCGCGTAACGCTTGATTTGATAAGTCAGCGCGCTGATGCAAATATGCAGAGAAGTATTTGTATGTACATATGTACACACATACATAGTCATGTAAGTATTTTTTTTATAAGATGTTTCAGATTAACCTACAGCCACGGTTATTATTTTAACACTTCCGTTCGTTGTACAAGTATTTGAAGAAGAAAATTCTTGGACTGAATCTAGCCTCTACTAGGCTTTGTCTGTGTGTGTTCAAAGAATATCAGACATAGCCTAAAAGAGGTTAGGTGAAACAGGAACAATTGCAACACTCTCGTACGTTCACTTCTACAACAATAATAATGTTTAAATACGTAAAATACTCATACCACATATGCACAAAAGTTAAGCTCACTGAAATGAAAGCAGAAAGTGCAGCCTTCTGTTTGCTTGACAACTATGGCTTGGAAATTGGTAAAGCGTTTTTGTTTTTGTTTGAAAATGTGCTTTATCTAACAACAATTACGAAAGTAATTGTGGAAAGATGAAGTTAGTGCAGTGATGAAACTCAGTGAAAAGTGTAATGTATTGTACAGGGTGAGTGGTTTTTAAACTGTAATAATTTTAAGAACAACTAATAAGAGTAGCACTCTTTTATTTAAATAATTTATGGAAATATCTTTCAACCTAATCTGTTACATTTACATTTATGTGATCTTTTCCAAAGATAAATCTACTTAAATTTTTATAATAATAAATTTTAAGGCAACCAGTTTCAAAGCTTCTCTCAGATATAAGACTTGTTCACGGCGCTTCCCATCCTAAAAGCACTTCTGATAAACACTTTCAATAAATGTCTTGGATTTTGGTAAGCAAAATTTTTTTATGGTAACACACTGAAAAATTAATCGAAACAAGAAAAAATTTTAATTTTGGCTACACCGAAGCTACAATCTCCTTCACAGGTGCATTTTTTTTATAGCATAAAAGGATATAAAAGATCTTTATCTTCATTTTGATCGCTCAGCTTGTATGGCAGGTATGTGTTATAGTAATACTATCTGAAAATTTTTTTCGGAGATTCTGATCGGAGATCGATGTTTTAGATGATAATTTGGGGCAAATTAAGTGAAGATACCTTGTCATAAAAAAATGTTTTCCACACAAGGATTTGAGTTGAATCGGTCAGTTTGTCTGACAGCTGTATGCTATAGTGGTTTGATAATCGGCGGTTTCGAGCAATGAGCAGCTTCTTGGAGAGAAAAAGACGTGTGCAAAATTTCAGATCAATATCTCAAAAACTAACTAGTTCGCGTATATACAGACGTACCGACGAACATGGCTGAATCTACCCGGCTCGTCACGTTGATTATTTATATTGCTTTCCGATGTTCCCTTTGGGTGTTATAAACAGTTGTTCAGGGTATGAAATGCAAAACCTGAGTAATATCTTGGGATGTTAATTTTTCGGCCGCTTTCTTTCGTGGTTGCTTTATTTTGACTACAAGTATACTAGCTGAACTCTTTAAAACAATGTACCCCTGATCCTGAGTTGTGGAGCAGATGGGATCAACATTCATATTATTCAACAGCTCCTGAGTGGTGCACATCGTTCTTCAGGACGAAATTAAACATTTTGGGAACAAGCTCGGCTAACACACGCCTTATGGTCATGACTTCATCAGCATATTCTCTCTTTTTTGAACACATCTCGTGAATTAAACATCAGAAGATTTTTACCATTATTCCATGACTCGTTTTACGGTGATGGAATTAAAATACATCGACACAATATGTTTGTATATAAAAGGTCATACCTTTTGTAATGACTGACTGATTTATTGATTTACTTTTGATATGAAATTAGAACCAAATTTTAAATAAAAATTCCCATATAACTAATTACTGAAACGGACGGATGAAGCTCGAAACATTGGATACCTTCTACGAATTAAGAAAAAGTGTTCAGATTGGACTGATTGGAGAACATTTCGATTATCGAGAGCTTAAATGTCGTCAGTATGTATGAATGCTTGTAAGATATGTATTGTACGTATCTAATAAAAAGGCCTTAGATGTCAAATAATGGCAAGCCTCATTGTCGAACCCACCAAAAGCTAAAAAAAACTTGAATTAATAGAAACCGTTATAAATACGTTGCTAACATTTGCACTTGTGAAATGTCGGCTTGTTTAAAAGTGTATAAAAATGAAGTGACTATGTGAAATATTTTTGAAAATAAAATCTACGTGCAGATCAAAGTTATAGATTAAGACAATATGAATAGAACATTTCTCAGCACCCTAATGTTGCATTTCGTTTGTATTCGTCTGCATTTAAGCAGCAGATTTACTAACGTGATTTCATTACAGTTACATCAAGTACAAAACGTCAAGCCAGCAAGGTATTTGTCTTCAAAGAACATAAATAACAACAAATAAACCGACTGAACACATTTATTTATAAAAACTGTTTTATTAATTTGTAAACAAACACCGTTGGTTGGATGAGTCATGTGGACTGAAAATTGTTGTTTTTCTGCTTTTTAAGCCAACCAGCGGCCATTTGAGCGTTGATAATGAAATTAATACGAAATATTTAACCCAAATGAATCATGCGAACTACAAAATTATTCAAACAATTTGTCTCGGATTTCAGTACTATATTTATATGTTTGCATATATGAAACTATGTACGTGATTAAACAGGTAAAGTAAATTTGCGGAAACATTAACCGATAACGGTCTAAACAATTTTATATTTCACTTTAACTCTACATTTTTTACTATTTTTAAATTAAATTTTTAGATTTCAACTTTGAGTCGCTTATGCCAGCAAATCCTAGTACTGGATAATACTGGAGATAACCGGACCTTATAGGTAACGCTGCTTTATACATCCCTTGAAATGATTTGGACCGAAGTGTTATTGGGAAAACCATGCTTGTGGTTATGGACAGCAGAGTTTTAACGAACAATACTTTTAAATAGAGCAATACTTGCCGAGCAGCGTATAATTACAGAAAAATTATTTGCTTATTACACACATAAGCTGTTGGTGGACTTCAGTTGCAGTTCTCAATAAACTCTCGTTGACATTGCCCACTCTTAAATTTCTTGAAAACCTGGTTTATCTATACTTAACAAATTTTTCAAACATGAAGTTATTGGTAAAATCGTAATAAAAGTTTTGTTTAAGTCATCGATTCGTTGATAATATAAAACTTAATAAAATTAGGTTTTAAATAATGCATTAAATAAATAAATGAATTAACATTTGAATAAAATTTTTTTTTATCTCGCATACCGGATTGAAAATTAAAAAAAATAATTTTTTTCCCAAAACTGTATAAAAAATTAATTTTTAACTTTTAATCCCAACTACCGGATTGAAAAGTAAAAAAGAAAACTTTTAATTTCCAGCAATTAACCTTAAATATTGAAAAATATTGAAAAACAACTGATATTGAAAAACAACTGACTTAAAAACAGATGTGTGTGCAGAAAAATTTATTATTCCGCAAAAAAAAAATGATGAAATTAAATAAATTTTCTCAGAATCAAAAGTAAGTATGCATATTACTTCTGATAAACTGACCCACGTAATGTCTGTCATACATACCCGCATATAACAAGTGAATAAATTACAGCAGTGGTCACTGAAATAGATACAACAAATAAATTGTAGAAAACTAAAAATATTTTTTTTTAAATTATTGCTTTCAATTCAAGTGTTCAAGATGAAGAGAAGAATTAGTTTAGATAAGTTAATATTAAATTCGAAGCACATTATATATAAAATATTACACACCTCTATTGATACTACCGAAAATTTGTGCGATAATATGGGAAAGACAAGCTCGGGAGATCATAAATTTTATAAGTAACCAGCGCTATGAAAAATGTCGAAGAATCGCTATTTACTTGCAATTGTCGATTATGTGAATAACCACTCTTTTTCGGGCACTCGATTTTGCTTTCTTAGAAATACATAAATATTGACCGCATTGGGTTGAAAATGAAATATTCATGAGTATTCGCGAAAATTATTTCGTACTTTCAATTCAACAGAAAACGGAGAGTTTTACGGTATTTACTGCAATCGAACTACAGACCTTAATTTTAAGAATCAAATGAATTGCAATTGAAATTCGCCTTTATATTAACGTTAGGGGGTGTTTAACATTCATTGAGTTAGGTTCCTTTTCTTAATTGTTTATATGAACATATACATTTTAGACTGTTAATAATTGAAACATAATATAAAAAATTTATTTTTTTAACAAAAAATTTAGTTTTTAGAAATGTAAGATGTTTTTAAATAATATTTGCTTTTCCACTAAAATTTTATATTGTGTGAAACTCCGGTTTCTGAAATCAAAAACATAGTGTTACTTGATTAAAAAAACAATAAAATTAAATGTTCTCTCATACCCATTCAAATGCCAATCGTTGTATACATATGTATGACAGCATGTATTTGCTTGACCTCGATTTGCTATGAGCGACGCTGCAGGCAACAGCTGACAAATTGACAAGTGAACAGTCAAAATAGCAATTTCGCTTGAGTTGTTGCTAACCAAAAGAAAAAGTGCACATAAATAAGTATAACTAAATAAAGGTACACGCAGACATAAATCCAAATACATCAAAATTAGACAACCAAGCAAAAAACGCAATTAAGCTCAGAATTTTGGTTATTATATACATAAATATATGTACATATGTAAGTATATGACTCTTTGCTATAGCTTCAAGTTTTATTCAGTTATCTATGCATTTAAAAAGTTATTATTTTTGGTGTATGATTAATATTTTTAAGAATTAATGCAATGCTTTCGTGCTAACTGCTAGCGGGCTTTGAAAAGTCTGGCGCCTTTTAAGCCATATTTTTATTAAACAAATGCGCATAATTACTCAAATAGAATTAAGAGTTATTGACGCGCTCATTTGTGGAGCGTCCCGCTGCCGTATTTTCGCAAGTTGCCATTGTAGAAGGTTTTTGATTGTGTAATTCAAAATGCAAAGCGCGTTTTATATGCAAACAAATTAAATTTATAAACAAACTCTTTGCAGTTTTTCAATGTTTGCTTCTGTTAAGTATACGAATTGATATAAAGAATTGAAAAGGAAGTGCACGTACTTATGTAATAATATGTAATAAATACTTATCTACATACTTGTATGTAGGGGAGAGAATAATGCATCTGAGCCAAGTATGTGGCATTTACACACATACGTAAATTTGAATGTGAGTCCTTATTCAGGAAACATTTAATTAATGTAAATAAATATACTTATAAATATTAAATCATATACATATTTACCTTTTTACAACCTGAATAGGGTATATTAAGTTTGCCCTACAAAGTATATACATATGTGTACTTGATGAGCGTGATGAGCTGAGTCGATCTGTGTATTTGCAAACTACTGCCTTAGTTTTTGGGGTATCTACCAGAAATTTTGCACACGACCTTTGCTTTCCAATGAACTGTTCATTTGTCGAAACTGCCGATATCGGACCACTATAGAATACAAGTACAGCTCTCATATAAACTGAACGATCGGAATCTAGTGCTTGTATGGAAAGCTTTTTAATTTTACGAGATATCTTCAAGAAATACTAAGTCAATAATGCAATCTCCGACGAAATTGTTAAGATGGTACCACTATAACATATAGCTGGCTTACAAACTGACCGATCAAAATCAAGATAATGGCATTTATATACTCCTTTATGCTATAAAAAATGCACCTGTGAAGGGTATTCTAGCTTCGGTGCAGCCGACATTAACGCTTTTCTTGTTTTAATTTCTCAGTTAATAGCTGCTTATGATTTAAAAGCAATTTTAATACCTTTAACAGGGTATATTAAGTTTTCCATGAAGTTTGTAAAACCCAGATGGTAACGTCGGAGTTCCTATTGTATAGTATATTTTATAGAGTGCCCATTTAGCCATGTCTGACTGTCTGTATGTATATACGCAAACTAGTCCCTCAGTTTTTAAGATATATCCCTTTTCTTACCAAGAAGCTGCTAATTTGTCGGAACCTCTGATATCGGACATTTATAACATATAGTTGCCATACAAACTGACCGATCAAACTCAAGTTTTTGTATGGAAAACTTTTTTATTTAACGAGGTATCTTCACGAACTTTTGTTGAGATTACAGTCCAAGCCAAGGTTACAGTCTTCGAAGATTGTCCTGATTAGACTACTATAGCGTATAGCTGCCATATAAACCGACCGATCAAAATCAAGATAAAGATATTTATATACCCATTTATGCCATAAAAAATTCACCTGTGAAGGGTATTGTAGCATCGGCGCACCGAAATTAACATACCCTATATATTATCATATATATCATATACAAGTATATAGCACAATTTATCTAAAGCAGCATCTGAACTCAAAACACTGTGAAATTTCTCAGAAATATTATTAATCTTTTCATTCCGATTTATTGGCTTTAATTGAGCTTTGTTTATTTGTAAACTATTGATTATTTTGTCATCAGCAACGGAAATGAATTGAAATAGTTTATGACAAATTTATTAGTTCCGTCACATTTCATGCGAATTGGGTTAAAAGTTTTGTGAATTTTCAAAGTGTGAATTACTTTTGAGGTCCGTCATGATTCATAAACTCTAGAGATCTCCTTCATAGTTGCTTATTAATTTTTATGTTATTATGATAGTAGTTGTGGTATGAATTTCTTCAATAAATTATAAGCACTTAAAATAATATAATATATAATATAAAAATAAGTTTAAAAAATAATAATAATATTGCATAGAAGGTAATAAAACAAAAAAAGTTAAAATTTGATTATTTAGAATGTAGGCAATATTTGAGGGAAAGACAAACTTATAAAATATTTTGTTCCACCCAAAAATATAGTGATAACAGTCGCTTTATAAATTTATCTGTGATTATGCGTAATGCCTTGTTTTTGTCCGAAATTATTTTGTTTTTACATTTCCGTTGTTTTTCGACGAAAATTTACAAAAAAATTTTATAACATATAGTACATAACAAATATAATATAATTATTGCTCATAAACAAGAAGCACAATTTTGAGATTTTCTGAATCTGGCGGTTTTGTACATTGGCAGCATTTTTGAGAAAAATTGCTGATTCAATGAAAAAAAAAACATTTGATTCAGAAAAAATAAATATTTTGAAAGATAAAAATATTTCTAGAACTCTGATTTTACTCATTCACACTTGGTGATATCAACTTTATCCGGAATGTGTTTCACCGCCTTCTAACTTACTGAATTCCTTACTTATTTTCTTTTTTAAATAAATAAGTTTTATATATTTATTTTATCGCTGAATTTTGAGATATATATATATAGTCGATAGAAAAGTTGATTCGAAGACGTTCTTTTAGCCAACCTGTGAGTCCTTATGGAAATCGGATATTACTTACAAGAATACCCCGCATTCGCAAGAGGTTCCGAGTTAAAAATTTAATGGGATTTTAAATGATTTAGTACGTTTTTTGATTGAAGGGTGTGTATACTGATTTCTTCGGGCAAAGTTAGGACCGTAGAATGATATGTAACTTATCAATTGAAACACAACTGGATGTTTTTAAATTAATACGAAAAATTATATATAATAGAGAGGGTCGTCAATTTCTTAGACGTGGGTGTTTGAGTACAAAGATTTCTCGGAACGACTGAGCACTTTGCGTAAAAATATATTTATATATCTTTACATTGTTATTTTATCTCTTCTACTACTAAGACGGCAGAAACAAGTATTTATTAATTCCTATGTTTACAATATGTATTAAAATCAAAGGCCGGGTTTCAAATGTTATCATGAAAAAGCTGAATCATTATTTTTTCAAGCACATACTTTTTCAAAAATAGACAGCAAACTTCGGCAGTCAAGTGTAATGCGATTGGTTTCTTTACCGCCTAAAATTATGCTACATATTATAAATTGTACGCACAACACTACACAACTCTTTGATACATTGATCAGTCGTAGCATGCCTTGAGGCGCACATATTTTGCTTAGACTTCAGTTGATTTTTTTAGCATTCTACTATAAATCTAGCATGCGATTTTTTGATCCCCCAATTACAGTACAATAGTTAAAATTGCTTGAAGTTGAATAGTAATATTTGTGTTGCGTTTGTACATCACATCTACATAGTAATGAAATGAAATTAATGCAGTACCTACATATGTATATATATATACGCACTACACATAACCATACAAACGCACGCATCCCACATAGCAAACGTAATTGCTAGCAAATTTGACTCACATTTGAATCTGCCCATAACAACTTATCCGCTAAGCACCAAAGCCATTGATGGACGACTGCTTGCTGATGATGCGACGTGCGCGCCAAAACAATAATAAATTAACATTGTGTGTTGCTCTTGCTAAATTTTCGCCAGCGGCGGAAGGTAAGCAGAAAATTCCCATTACTGCAAATGCTTCGAAGCGCCTAGCGTTGCTGCAGTAAAAGCGTGATGGATACAACTAGCAGCCGCAACTGCAGCCACAGCAGCAGCTACAATTAAGTAGCGGGAAATAATTTAAGTAAAAAAACCGCAACTACAAAAACAAAAGCACTGCGCTGGCAATTACGCTATTGGAAATTTACAAGACACAATCAGTTGGTCATTGAAACGAGCACGGACCAACCCAAAGCAAAAGACATGAAACCATGTGAATGAAGGCTCCCCGCACTGTATATGTGTATGTGGTTATGTGTGTGAAGCACATGTGTGTTGTATCCCGCTGCGCTGCAGCAACGTCCAGCGCATCTTCAGCTTCACCTACCGTGGCTGCCCGCAACGATTATTTTTTACGCTTTATTTAATTTTATGGTCAATGTATTTATTTTGCGTGATTTGAGTTTATTTCTGAAATAACAACATTTTTTCTGCGGTTACTTATTTTTTTAAGCTCTGCATATTGCTAGTTGTGGTTTTTTCTGCTTATTTTTTATAGAGTCATCATTGTCAGCAGCAACATTTGCTGCAATGCTGGCCGTAATGATGCTAGTCTGAGTTGTGGCTATCGTGCAGATCGTTATGTCTGCCCGTTCGGTTGGTGTTAACATTCGCACTGGCGCATATGCAGATGGGCTGCGGCGATCTCCTGCTGATCGCTTGGCTCAGCACTGCACGCAGCTTAGTTGCAGCATTTACAGTAACTGTATATATGTGTTTGAATGTAATTTAGTATCCATATACATGTAAATAAACGAACTTGCTACTACAGCCGCCTTCTTGCTGTTGCTGTTCGGTTTCTGTGTCTTGCTGGTTAAAGGTCACATGGGTAACACAATATTTTCGAGTTCGATACTGAGTGCCTACAGTGTTATGGCATAATACTTACATTTCGTAAAACTTGATAAATGGATACTGTTGTAAATGGACACTTCAATAATGGAGTTGAACAGATGTTGCAACATTCTATAAATAACAGCGAATTTTCCATTTCAGTTGGTGATTACATTGGATTTCCAAGGAATTAAGGTACAAAGATGAGTCCGACTTTTGAGATATTTTTTCTGATTTTTTTCACTT